GTAACATTTGCTGAAGAAGGCAGTGAATGAACTGAAAACCGTGATTTCCCAAATTTATAATGCAGTGCTCCTTCCACCACGCCAAATATGGTTCCAGAAAAGTAGACTGGAGTTGCAGTTTTGTTTTCTCACAGTGCTAGATGCTACTTCAATAGATAATACTGTTTCCACTATTATAATTTTTTGTCTCTTTCAGACACAAATGTCACAGTTGTCTCTTAAGTAGGCTCAGAAGGAATTCATCCTCCTAAGAGTGAGAGATGAAGGTAAGTGGTGGTACTAGCCCCTTTCTGAAGTGTCAGCTACCAAATACTGCAAGTTAAAAAGATGGCTCTGATGAAGTAATATTTTTTCGTGTGTGTTTTATTAATATTTATCAAGCCTTTCTTGTTTACTCTGCATGCTGTTTTAGCTATCGAGATACAAGTGCATACCTCCCCCCATACCCTCCCACTCAAAACCCATACGAAATAGTTGTTCTCTCATCATCAACTCTCATTAAATGAGCTTGACTCTGTTAGAAAGACCAAAGGAAAGGCTGTGACCATGACAATTGCTTATTCTGGACTTCATTTCTGAATTCTAGATTTGGCTATATTTAGCAAAGCTATAACCGTCATCATGCCCAAAGCCAGGAAGACACCATTCACAAACCACCCCCTGAAAATCTGCAGTTGCCTCTGAAAAACCAGACTTCCCAGCAGGCAAAGACATCTGAAGTAGAAGGGATCAAATTGGTGTTTGCAGCAAGAGAAAGCCCCAGGTATTTATAACTAATCTCCCTGCGTGGCACTCAAGGCTCTTCATAAACTTATTTCTTCCTTTTCTCTCCAACATTCCTTCCATTCTGGCCCAACATCCTCATTATCTCCCCTGTTCATTCCTGTCTGTAACATTGGTCATCTCACTCCCCAACCTGATTCTGCTTCAAGCTTCTTGCCTCTTCACTGAAACTTCTGAGACCACTCCTATCACAGGCACTAGTGGCTCCCTTTTCTCACAATTAGCACAGGCAAAGTAGAGGAGCAGTACATACTTGATAGTTCTCATTAGCCCTAGATCTGTATTCCTTCAGTGCAGATGAGAAAATTGTTGTGAGGAGTCACTTGCTCCACCTTATACAAAATTGATACAGCCCTGGAATGCAGTCTTGGACACAACAGGTATTCAACAAACAATTATTATCTAAAGCTTAAATATAAGACCCTATATAGCTAAAGAAATATGATAAAAGCACAGCTTCTCAGTACTTCTTTGAGCATTGCTCCTATTCTCCCATTAAGCTCATTCTGGAAGTTTAAACCAAACCTTCCCTCGACGTCATATGCCTATTAACTCAGGCATGATTTAGCATCTCATCATAGCATGTTTGCTGAGAAAGCGAGAGAGAAAATATCCTCCCCGGCACCCAGCCTAGAGATAGCCATATCCCTCTAAACTCACGACATAGAGCCTTCACTTCCCCCCAGACAAGCCCCTGCTGTACTAGTTAGTGAAACCAAGCTAGCAAGCTGATGCTACTGATGGAGAGATGACAGGCCAGCATTCTCCTGTCTTGCCCACCACCTGCTCCTTGGCATTCTTGCAATTCCTCACTATAAAGCACAGACCATTACCCACATTAGGGAAAAAGAGATTGTCAGTGGGATGTGGTGGTAATCAGGTCTGTGTTTGCAGCCCCCCATACCACCCCTCCCTAAACTGCCTGGCCACTGCCCTGGGCGCTCAGTGTACAACTCTCTTTGTCCTTAGAAAACTCTGGCTGGGAATGGGGACTCACAAAGAGGGTCCAAGGAAGAAACGTGGCTATCCAAAACATCTTCTGACCCTTTTAGGAGCTGGTAAGGCCTCTGAAAAGAACACCTGGCTCTGCCCATCCACAATGGGGGAAAGAGATTGTTTCAAATTGCTGCAACCAAACTAGCCTTCACACTGCTCTCCACACCCCCTTAACTATATATATATGATGTAATGCTGCTGATAAATAATGGTTACCATTAATTTATTGGACACCTGAAAAACATTAAAGACTTAATATACATTGCCTCATTTAATCTTCAAGACCACCCCATGGGGCAGTGGTTCTCAAACTTTAGCTTCCATCAGAATGTCTCCAGGGGGCCGGCCCGGTGGCGCACTGGAGAGTGCGCCCCTTGGGAGCGCGGCGGCGCTCCCGCCGAGGGTTCAGATCCCATGTGGAGACCGGTTCCCACTCACTGGCTGAGCGCGGTGTAGGCGCGACACCGAGGGTTGCAATCCCGTTGCCGGTCCCCGGTATAGGCGCAACACCGAGGGTTGCAATCCCGTTACCGGTCAGTAAAAAAGACAAAAAGGAAAAAAAAAAAAAAGAATCTCTCCAGGAACTTGTTAAAGCCCTACACCTACAGTCTATGGAGTGAGGCCTGAGAATCTGCAATACTAACAAGTTTCCAGGTGATGACAATACTCCCAATCCAGGCCCCACACTTTGAGAACCACTGCCATAAGGAAACAGATTCAAAAGAGGTTTGGAATGTCTTGTCCAAAGTTCCACAGCTAGTAAAGAACAGATCCAGAATTTGAACCTCAATCTGTCTGACTCTACAGACAGTGCTGGTAACCATGCTACTGCATTTCTGAATGTATGCCTTGTCTTCCCAAATTCATTGGCAGCTCCTTAAAGGCAGACATCACACTCCCTCATCCCTCTCAGAACTTAGAACAAGCCTTTGAACTTGGTCGATGCTACATAAGTACTTGATATACTGGCTCCTACATATCTACACATTTCTAAGAGCCACAAATTCTAACTCATTTATAGCCAAAGAGCACAAAGAGGGCAGCATTGCCAGACCCAGTTTTACGTGATACTCTCTCTTGCTACTCTGAGTCTGTGCCCATGCTCCACCACACCAGCTAACTTCCTTCATAAAACGATTCTTGGCTCCCTAAGATTGGGGGCCACTGCACCCTAAGCTTATCTCCGTGATGGCACTTATCACTATTATAATTGGCTATTTTCTATCTCACAAAGTAATATGTAAACTCCAGCATCTAGTTTAATATCATATTTCCAGAACCTAGCACAGTGACTGGCATATCATAGGTATGCCATAACTGTTTGTTGAATGAAAAAATTAATGAATAAATGCAGAGCTACAAGCTCTAAGCTCCACTTAAAAATATCACAATATGTGGTGTGCAGTTCTCTGGGTTGAATTCCATGGAAGAGGAGGGCAGCCTAGACAACATAGACCAATTTTTATCTTTTCTCTTCCCCATCACTCTTTCCCGATTGGGAGAACAGGCATTTCTCAGAGCAACACCATCTATAATGAGACAACATCCTAGCAGAACAAAACGCTCCTGGGCTACAAGGTCAGCAGAGGCCATTCAGAGGGAAAGCAGCTCTGTATCCCTCATTCCACCTAATTTCTCTCTCACATACACTCCTTCTCCACTTCTACACCCTACTGCAGTCATAGGCTTTGGCACAGGAATGAAAGGCACAGATCAGACTCAAGGGTGCGGATCTGGCAGCAGGCACAGAAGCATCTCCTATCCTGCACCAAAGCCCACAAGGAAGGATCCAGATGGACAGTGACTCAGGCCCCAGATTAAGTCCAGCTATAGCAGTACTGAGAATAAAAAAGGGCAATAATTTCACAAGGACATTACTTGTCAGATTATATTTTTAAAAATTGTATTTTTAAAGTACCAGCTTCAACCCTATCTCCAGAAAATTGGACCCTGCTGAATCCAGTGCTTACACAAGCTGAGAGCCAAACACAGCTTCTTCCTCTTCCCAACCCACTCACCAGCCTGCAACACTCACCATGACAGACATTTCCCAGGCCCAGATCAAGACCCTTGCTTCAATCTTAGCTTGCAAAAGGTTCTTTTTAAAGGGACCTCTGAGATTTTTCTCTTCCCCAGCTGATAAACTGTTCACCACCACCACCATGTTGCAAGGATAGGAGCCTCCCCCTTCCCTCAACCCTTCTCGGTCTATAACACAACCTACAGCAGGATGACCCCATCCAATTAGTTTGAATTGCTTCATGCCAAGGAAATTGCTGCTTTTATTAAAAATAAAAGCACATAGGCAGGCGATGGGCTGTAAAAAGTATGAGTCTGCCATAATTATGAAGGTCGAGGTTAAGGTTACCAAAAGAGACATGCAAAGATTTCCCAAAAGCCTGAGGATAAAGATATATATCTACATGAGTACAGATACACAGATGAACACACACAGAAAATATTTACACAGCAGATCTAAATAATATCCTCTCCAATAAAGGAAAAATAAAATCAGAGCCACTCTCAAGTAATTCTTCTTTTGGTTAAAAAATAAATAAAAACTAAAATGGAAGGAAAAGAGGTCTACTAGACTGAATTCAAAATAACCATATTCATTTCATATAATTTCTGTTATCTTAGCTATATCCTGGGGACCTGATTACAGTTGGGTTCAAAAACAAACCTAGTCAAACCCACCAACAAACTGCTTTCGGAAAAAAACATTTCCATCCTCTGAAAATCCTCTCTTCCTTCCAGTGCCTGCTCATGGAAGTGGGAAAGTTGGGTAGGAGAAGGAGAAACCCCTCTCTCTTTTTAAAGGTTGCTCCCTTCCCCACCCTTCGGCCTTTCCATCAATATTTCAAGTTTTAGTAAGATGACAAGCCCACTTCCCTGCATTTGATATAAAGCTTTATAGTTTCACACATACGTTCTCTCCTCTGATCCTCATAATTCGATGAGGGGAGGAGGGTGCCTTTTAAACGTTTTAAAAAAAAAAGCCACTGAGGTAAACAATTTCGGCAACCTCCCTCCACCCCATAAGCTCTGTCACTTTCAAATCTCAGTTTTAAATCTTTCAAGGACAATGACTCACAGGGCAAGTGAAGGGGGAAGGGAGGGTCAATTCGTCAAAACCCATTCATACATTCAACAGCTAGAAACTAGGGTCTTGCCGCATCGGTACTAGGTTTTAATTTACGGCGCACTGAGTCCCAGCGTACCTTCGGCCAACACCTCATCCACAGTGACCTGCTGTCGCCCGATGCCAAAGACCCTTCCGATGTAGCCACTGCCCAGGCCCGAGGTGCTGCCCCCTCCTCCGCTGGAGCCGGAGCCCAGGCCAGAGCTGCCCTGCTCTCGCCGGGAGTCGAAAAACTTCTTCATCTTGCAAATAGGAAGCAGCAAAGCAAAATACTGATGGTTTCTGGATTTTTTTTTTTTTTTTTAAGAAAAGAGATCCAAAGATTTCTTCTCGGATTTCAGCTCGGAGAGGAGCCACCCGAATCCGGCCGCGGGGGTGGGGGCTGAGGGAGGATGCCTATAGGAATATGCGTGTCAATCGCGCGGTGGGTCCCCTCCTCCTCCAGAGAGCGATTCGTGTAAGTTTAAACCTGTGATGACAGAGGAAGAGAGAGAGGATGAATCAGTAAGACACTTAAAAATTCAACTGCTGAGTCCTAGGGGGAGCAAAAGCCATCATCCTGAGGAAACGCTTCATGCATTTTACTGGCGAGAAAACCCCTCGGGCTGAAAACGCGTCCCCGGCCTCAGAACCCGGGACCCCCGTACCCAGGGCTCGGAGAAAGGAGGGATTCGGGCCGCCTTGGGCAGCGCCGACCCTGCCGGGCACTGCCTCCCCGTCCTCCGGCACAAGGGATTCTGGGGGTTGTGGTTTCCAAATGGATCGAGACTGACACCTGAAGGACGCGACTTAACCGCTTAGTCCCGAGTGGGTCCTGCGTAGCTTCCCGACGTCACCTGGGCAGAAGGTGGAAGGGAGAGGGTGGTCGGGAACGTTGTGCTGGCAGTTGGTTCAGGCCACACCGGAACGCCAGTCCTAAGATAAATAAAACCGAAGCCATTCCGCTTACAACCTCCAAAACTGCTTTTGCTCCCAGATGTTATCGAGAGCCGGCTCAGCGGTGAGCTCTGAGCTAGGCGCTGCGAGAACGATCAGTAAGGCACTGTCTCGTCCGGGAATCTACAGCCGAGGTTCAAACCGAGAAACTGCTGAAGGTTGTGTGCAGGGCAGATCCGAGGGTATCAGGAGACCCGGCCGGTTGGCTCGACCTCAAACTTTGGGGCTGGTCAGCCGACGGTGACCCTTAATTCTTCCACTTTTGCTGACGCTATGGGTGGACCTGATCGTCGCTAACCCTCTCCCACACAAGAACCCTGGGCGGACCTGTTATTTCTTTTTCACTTCAAGATTCTTTCCCTGTTGCTTATTTTACCCTACTATTCTCTGAGTGCCGAGGGTGGGGGTAGACTATGTCAGTTGCATCTGCCAAAAGCGGAAGATTTGGAAGGCTGGTTGGTACCCTTCTCCCTCCCTAGATTTCCTGATAGATGATGTTGAAGGTAGTGCCAAATCCCTGCAAAAACAACCCCCCCCCCAAATCTATGATTTTTCTAACGCCTGAATACAGATTATTTCTCACCTCTGCCTGTTCTCCCCACTCCCTAATGCTGTGGCAGTCCTCTTGGCTTGTAATTCGTCCCAGAATTTTTTCAGCAGGCATTTGAGGAGAGTAGGGAACGGAAGGGTGCTCTAGGAAAAAATGACTCTTGCTTTCTGTAATCTGAATATTGAGCTGAGCCTTGCCTGGGCTAGCAGTGGCTGTTGCTGCTGCCGCTTTTTTCAAGTAGTGCTATTGTAATTAAACTCCCTGTGTACAGATAGCATCTTTTCTTCCGGAAAGAGTCAACATTGTTACCTCAGTTCACGTTTTCATGCAGCCACCTCCGGGGTGAAATGCAGCACCTACTGAAACATTTCCCCAAAGCAAGCCCACGGTGGCATGTTCTCTGCACTTTCCTTAAAAGGCTAGATTTTTGTCTAAGGAAGTTTGGAATAGATCTTAAAATAGATGGGAAAGCTCATCTGGAATTAGATTCATTGACCCACATCTTTCTTAGCACCTAAGAATCTTGACAGACTTTTATAAAGAAGAAGCTCTGTTACTATATCAGTTTTTACTCTTCTAGACTTTCCTGGTACCAGACTATGTTGTGAGGCTGCCGCACGGAAAAGAAACCAGAACATCCAATTGAGAATTTTAAAAAGGGTTTTTATTGGCCAGCTGGTGACAGTCCCTCCAAGAAAGTCTCAGAAGGGAGCAACCCTGAGTTTAAGTTTAAGGGTTCTTTTAAACGCACGTAGTCACACAGGCAAAAAATCATATAGTCACACACTTATAGTTATCATATAGTTACACACATACATACATACCCTCCTGGCATGAGGAGGGGGTTTGGGGAGACCTAGCACAAGCTGATAACAGAAGCTGAAAGAAGCCAGTTAATCACTTAGGGATGGCAAAAACTTTCACAGGGCAGTTTCCTCTTTAGGTTGTCTAGATACATCTGGATACAGCTCTTGGCTTTATCAGTCAGGGACTAGCACAAGCTGATAACAGAAGCTGAAAGAAGCCAGTTAATCACTTAGGGATGGCAAAAATTTTCACAGGGCAGTTTCCTCTTTAGGTTGTCTAGATACATCTGGATACAGCTCTTGGCTTTATCAGTCAGGGACAGCACAGGCGGGAAACAGCAAAGGCAGGCAGAATTTAAAGTTTTTCTAGGTACAGGGCAATTTTTAACCTTCAATTTTCACCACAGGTGTTGGGGGGGCTTTCAAACAAGAACAATTTTTAAACAGTAAAAATGGCATAAGCTAAGTCAATCTACCTCGTCACAACTAAGCCAGGTTTACACAAATCTGAAATCTTATTTCAGAGATACAAAACTTTCCAATAGGATTAGGTAGCTAACATGTATTTATTGAACATCTATGTGGATGGTTTGATCAGAATCTACAGGTGGAGGTTTAAAAAACAGAAGACTAGATTCCTTGCCTTTCATTCTCTCAGAGGCTAATAGCTATAATGACAAATCCACAATTTTTCTTGCTTTACATATATTACTTAATCTTCACAACAACCCTATGTAATAAAGTACTATTATTATACTCATTTTATAGGTGGGAAACTGAAGCAGAGATGAGTGACTTGCCCACAGTCACACTGATAGTAACTGGCAAAGCCAGGATTCAAAAACAAACATTTTGGCTTCAGAGCCCAGTGCTTAACTGGCTACATTAAACTGTCTACTTAGAGCAAACATGAACTGATTAAAAGACTTGAGAATAGTTAGAAACATACCTACAAGCAGCATAGGACCAGGAGACAGGACACCCTAGTCCACTTAGGTCTCTGGGACTATTTTCTCAGCCATAAAACCAAACAGAGCTCTCTTACAATTCTTAGTAATTCTCTAGTTCCTGAGTACAAAATAATCACAGATCAGCCACTATAACCTCAAAACTTCTACCACACTTACTTTCTATATATTTTATCCCACCCTACCTTGCATTCCTATTCAAAGTTTCATGTGCATTGTCACCTCAACCAAGTACTTCAAAGCCAGGGAACAGTCTTCTCCTTATCTCCTTGAACATCCAATAGAATAGTTTATTTAGAATGTGTTCTTCCAGTACTTAAATAAACTAAATAACCGACTTCAAATTAAATGACACAAAAGAGAGCAATCCAATTAAGGTAGAAAGATTGATTTGAAGTATTCTAGATTAGGTTAGTTTTTGTACTAGATCTAGGAGATACTGTAGATAAGTACACAATTAAAGGGAAGGGGGAATGAAACTGACATTTACTATGAATCTTCCATATGCCAATTATTGTATTGAGCACTTTATTATTTATCTTTATTTTATTATTATTTACTATTATATAGTATATATTATTTATTTATTGTCTTATTTACCCCTCATGGCTGCATCCCTACAAAATAGATACTATTTTTTAATATATCAAAGTAAATATTATTATACTATTATCCTGAATTTTATAGATGAACAATGAAGATTTTGTCGGTAGCACAGGGATGTGCTAGGCTTGGAGGAAATGATTCTACCTGTACGGTGGCTAAATCATGTTACAATAAACACAGTTATGGAAAAGGTGTGCCACATCTTTAGAGGAAATCAAAGGGAAGGGGACCAACATTAATTAAGGACCTTAACTAAGTCAGGCCACTGTGTTGGGCATTTAATCATATCATTTAATCTTCATCAGTTAGGTGTGCATTACTTCTATTTTATCAGTGTGGAAACAGGCTGATGGGGTTCAAGTATGTCAACTATTGCTATGCACATCCTGCAAAGGGCAGAGCCAAAATCAGACCAGACTGACCTCAAAACCCACATCATTATCACTACATCACAGAGGCATTCTATGTTGTGATCTTTTGGCCCAGTGTAACTTGTTAGAAATGCAAATTCCTGGACTCCATCTAGATCTACTGAGAAGGAGGGAGGGACAGAGGCAGCAATGTCTTTTCACAAACTAGGTAATTATAACACACATTCAAGTTTGAGAAGCACTGTTGAGCAGGAGTAACTTGTAATAACCATTTCCCTCCTTTAAAAGGAAGAGTTCTTGGTTTTGTTTTTGTTTTCTAATTAGAAATGTAATTATATGCTCATTGAAGAAAGTATAAAGAAGATAATCAGCTGTAATTCTACCACACAGAGGTAACTACTATTGATGTTTTGATCAATTTCCTTTTAGCATTTTTTTCCATATATAAATACATTTTTACCATATTAGATCACATTGTATATTTAGTACATTTATTATATTTATTCATTTTATAGTTTCCGTTTCATTATGTATTCTCTGAAAACATTATTTAGACAGCTGCTTAGTAATCAGTCCTTAACTGTCAAATATTTTATTTCATTTAAAAATTTTTGCTGTTATGTGTATATATGATTATAATGAACATCCTTTTGTGTGCTTCTTTAATTTTTTTTTCCTAAGGGTATATTTTTATAAATGGAATAACTGGGTCAAAAGGTATGAATGTTTTTACAGCTAGAGAGCCAAAGTACCCTCCAGGGACGTTAAACTGATTTGCTCTCCACTCGCTGATTTAAATATTTATCAAACTCCTACGAAGTGCTAGATACTAGAAAGGTTATTACAGTGAACAAAATATATACAACCCTGCCTTCAAGGAGTTTTTGATCTTAGAGGGCATCAAATCTTAAGTATTCCCATGCCCTTGCCAACACTGAGTTTGTGGAGTTTAAAAGGAAATTCATCCCATTTAGTTAGGAGAGATGGTGCTTACTATTGTCATTGCTCAAATTAGTGAGGTTGAACACTTTTTCGTGTTCATTTATTTATTCATCAGTTTTATTAAGCACCTATTACATGCTAACACTATGCTAGGAATTGGAAATATAATGATAAA